GCTCCGACACGACTTTTTATCCTGCAAATAAAGCTCAGCAATGAAGAAAAGCAAGGACGGTGTTTCCAGGCTCTCCAGACCACACATCAAGCCTCTCCCTTCGAGCTGACGCAGGCAGCCCGGGGTGGGGGAGAACCGGTTGCAGTGATCAAAGCACCACCACAGGCCCTGTCCCAGTGGGGCCAGCTTGTCTGGCGCATGAAATGCCCAGTTTGTCTTGGTTCTGAAGAATTCCCAAGAAAAATCCCATCATAAAGTCACATTACATCTTGGAATCAGATCTTCTCAGTATTACAGTTACATTTGAATGTTCAATTTATTGCCCTTTTTCAAAAGGGACAACGATCACAGACGCTTCACGAGCTGCTCCGCATCCCCCTGGTTAAATAATTCCCGTAGCAACCGTCTCCCAAGTGCAAAAATACGAAGTTCCTCTCTTGCCCCATTTCCACAAAGATCCTCAGCACCTGGGTTTGGTTTGTCCTCCCTCACTCAGGATCCCTTCACCTCAGGTACCGCCTTCGCCACTGAAGAGGGCTTCCCCTGAAGCTGGCCAACAGCGCACATCAAGAATCGTGTGAACGCTGTCCATCCCTTCCAGCTCCTAATATTCTGTGATTCCTCGCCGCAGTGCTACAGCAGCCATCCTTGCTCATTTTCCCACCAATTAAAAAAAAAAAAATCCAAACCAAAACCAACTTTTCACAGAATCACAGAATGTCAGCAGTTGGAAGGGACCTCGAAAGATCATCCAGTCCAACCCCTGCCAGAGCAGGATCACCTAGACCAGGTCACACAAGAACGTGTCCAGGAGATTGGATGTCTCAAGAGAAGGACACTCCACAACCTCTCTGGGCAGCCTGGGCCATGCTCTGGCACCCTCACACTGACAAAGTTTCTCCTCATGTTCAGGTTGAACCTCCTATGCTCCAGCTTGTTCCCACTGCCCCTTGTCCTGTCACTGACTCACAGAGAAGAGCCTGGCTCCTTCCTCCTGACACTCGCCCTTTACAGATTGATAACCATGAATGAGGGCACCCCTCAGTCTCCTCTTCTCCAAGCTAAAGAGACCCAGCTCCCTCAGCCGCTCCTCAGCAGGAGATGCTCCACTCCCTTGAAGCTGTTGTTTTTTTTTTCCCTGCAGGGGGAGAGGGAAGATTTAGAAGAGCTACAATGAACAGCCTTATTTTCATCACTCCTAGTTTAAAAGGAATTTAGTTACAAAAGAACGTTGTGGCGTTTTTTTTTCTAATACTCGTTTGCTTTGCTGGAAACAAAAATCACGGTGTCAGCCAGAGCTCAGGAAATTAAAACGACTGCGCTATTTTTAGCATCATTAAAAGGAAAAAAAATAATAAAGGCAATGACATTTCTAAAATTCTATTGTTGTTTTAATAAGGTGTTACCAAGAGGGTGTTACACACATTAGGGCTCTTTAAAATACTTGTGCCCTGACCGTGCTCCTTTAATTATCGAGTCGCCCTGGTACGCAGGCAGGCAGAGGAATCCTGTCACAGTATCCGCTCACACATCCGCGGCCATTTGGCTGTTACGTCAAAGCAGAGCTACCGAATCACGTGCGCACAGGGAGGGAGTCGCCGGGACAGAGCTCGTTTTGCCAGGGTGTTTAATGCCAAGGAAGGGCGGTCAAGTTATAATTGGGTGTAATTAACACCGCCGTACCCTGAATCCTCTTTATGTTCGAGTCACACGGCGACCTCAAGGAAATGAAAAATTCTTCCTTGCTATTGAAACAGGCAAACAACATCTCGAGCTTATCCTCGTAATGAGAAAAGAACAGCTCCTGAGCAGATAAGGTTTCCAAATCAGGATTTTGCTCGTACAGCTCCTGCAGGGAAAGCTCACAGGGAGACTTAAGGCCTTTGCCTACTTTTGGGGTTGCTTGTTGCTTTGTTGTTTTTTTTAAGAAAGGTAATGCTTTGGGCTCAAGGGCTTTGAAAAGGCAAGGTCTAGATGATTCAAAGGACCAAAGGCACAGGACAGAGGCATTAGCTGAGTTCAGCTGTCCCTGTGGCCGGTAGTTGGTCCGGAGGTGTGCAACAGGGAACATCGACATTTCAGAATGCAGCAATGCCTTGTTAGTACTGGCATCAAAGAGGCCAGTCAATAGGCCAAAAGGTCCAATGTTCACCCCCAATGTAAATATTTGAAATAAAAGGATTTCTTACTTATTACGTAACATCCTTTTGATGTAAAGAAGAAAAGAGTTAACCCTACCTAGAAAAGTAACGGCAGGAGGACACACTTAGCTCCCTGCAATTAGGATTTGCAGGCAGCACCACAGGGGGTTCAGCTGCCGAAAACACAGCCCTCCCACCCTTCCTTGCAGCTGTAATGCAAGTGGGGGCATGGCTGGCAGCCAGGGAGCCCCTGAATCTGGCTGCCATAGCCTCCGAGGCCTGAGGAAGCCCTTCCAGAGTTTGGCAGTAGCAGGACACGTCTTGTCTCAAATCCCCCCTGCAGGGAAGCTTGCCCTTCTAGCGTGTGCTCCAGTCTCCAGTACCACCAGGAAATCTCCTCGGCTGGACAAGTACTTCACAATCTATTTAGGTAAGAAATATTGTGCTTTTCTAGGGGGCCTGCCTGGGTTTCCTTTGCTGGTGAACAGAAGTGGTTACCACGCAAGCAAGGCTGAGTTTTTCTGGGCTACCCAACTGTATCCATTACCCTTGTCTGAATTAGCAGCTCCGGGGCACTGTCCCATCCGTGCTCTGAAAGTACCAGAAAGGCAGCTGCGCTGAACCAATCCGAGCACTGGCAGCGTTTGGCGTTCTCCCCAGAGCTGTCTGAGCAAACAAGGCAAAGGGGAAAAAGCCTGTCCTTCCCTCCCTCCCTCCCTCCACCTGCCCAGTGACTCAGAACAACTCAAAATGGCAGTTTAACTCTCACTGCTGCCAGAACGCAGACCCATGTACCCAGCAGTCAGAGTGAGGGCACTGGGGGTGCCAAAAAAGTGAGTATGCTCAGCCGTTTGGAGGGCTGGGGGAAGGGATGGGGACACTGGGATCTCTATAGCAACCCTTGCCTGGCTGATCCTGCTAAATGATCGGGAACAAGGGCTGCTCTAAAATTAGATCTTCTAAGGGTCCCTGCACCAGGGGCAATAACTCCAACACAAAAGAAATAATTCAAACTTCATTTCTCTCTGCCTCCACTGAAAAACCTTTGTTATCTTAGAAACTTCTGGGAAAGAAAAAAGTACGTATAAACCTTCTGCATTCCTAGTACGATAATTTTGGGTGGCCTGACTGAGAGCAAGTGATAAATTCTGGTTGAAGTGATAAAGTTCCAGGTACCAAAAAATCTGCATGTCATGCCCTGCTTTTAAAAGAAATACAGAACTTAACATGGCTGATAATGGCTCTGACATGGGCTTCCCAGTCAGGAACAAGAGGCAGCTGCTTATTCAGGTAGAATTGCTTTGAGAGAGTGGGTTTGCTGGGACCAAAGAATCAGTTTGCTCTGAACAACTTGGGAAATGGCATCCACATTAGTAAAAATTAAGCAGACGCTGTGTAAGGGAACCACGGTGCAGGAAAGAAGACACAGAGAAACTCTCAGGACTGCAGAAAGCTTGGAAGAGAAATCTGACAGAATTAATAGCTGGGTGGAAGAGAGGGAGGAGCAGTTGAGATGGCTGTAGGACTGGTCTTAGCTAGAGCCAACTACAGCAGGAAGAAATTACTTCCCAGGGAAGGATGATCACAACTTGTCTGCTTGTTTTCACTCTAATCCTAACCACCCAAATGGCTGGAGCAGGTAGAAGAGGCATTTAAGCCAGAGAGGAGTTAGAGGAATCAGTATTAACCACAGGGGAACAACTGAAATCTTGAAAGGAGCATAAAACGGGCTCAGCACCCTGAGACTGTGCAAAGGGAATCTCGTTACTGTAACGCACGCTCTGCTTAGACTCTGAAGACTTTAAGGATCACGGGGCACGCTGAGCTAGGGCCTTAATTTAACCATCTGAGGAGTACATCCACTAGTAGGGAACTCACTTCCGTCCCTGCATAAAGACGCCCGTTCCCAGATCTCTGCTGAGCCAACAGACTGCTTTTAGCTGTACTGGTATTTGACAAACAAGCAGCCTCTGGTTTTCAGCACACACATGGCTAATAGCCTAGAACACAATAGTTGGTTTCCAGTTACAGCAGGGAAGGCTTTAACTTATTCACAAGAACAGGATAGCGAGTCAAATAGCTTAGTAGGTTTTAGAAAGGGATTGGATGTTTGCATGGTGAAACAACATCCACAGCCGTATTAGCTAGGATAAGGGTTACAAGCTCAGCGATCCTCACGCTACGGGACAAAATGATCAGTGGCTGGGATCACAGGCAGACAAAAGCGATAGCCATTCCCTGAAGCTCCTTGCAGCAAGGTCACATGGCCATAAGCAGGCACTGTCAGAAACCAGATAACCCATTGTGCAGTTCTAGCTGGGCTAATCCTGCGTGTCCTCAGAAAGCTCCAGAGAGGCTAGGCACACAGTGAACCAGAGAGAAATTCTTGTTACTCAAAAAAACCCAACCAAAGCAAAAAAAAAATAATGAAAAAGAAGAACCTTTATTGGTATGCATCCTACAGAAGAAATAGTTACAAGAAAGGTCCTTGGATTAATCTCTCAAAGAAAACATGGAACAGCTGTGCTCTCCCTACGAAGGGACCAGCCATGAACAGGTTCCTTCCAAAACAGGGCAGCATGGAAATGCACTGGATGAAGGAGGGGAGGGGAGCAGACACATGGGATTGGTGGTCTGCTCTTCAATACCGAGGTGCAGGGCAGTTTCTAACAACTGAGAGGAGTCCTGGTAAGAACACACACAAGGTGTCTCCCCACATAAGAAAGGGCATTTGCTTTTTACTGAGCTGGTCTCCTCCACACGTAAATGCTTGCTCATAAGGATTTTTATAGCGAGCAGGGGCAGCTACTAGCAGAGCTTCTTAAAAGTCAAGAGACCATAATCCAAATGTTTTGGGCTTTCTGATAGCCAGTTCTGATCAGGTTTCAGTCCTCACTCAGACTGTAACTCCTCCAACCCCAAGTATATACTGATTTTGTACTGCTTTAGAAAAAAATAATCAATTGTTTTTCAATAATAGCAAAGTCCAGAGATGTTCCAAGACCCTCTTGCCAACCCGACAGGAGGTGTAGTCACGTACAGATAGGATCACCTCTTCTTGAAGCCATACTTTTTCCTTTCGTAGAAGAGATCCGTCTTGGAACTGCCCAGGTTGACGATCTTAGGGCAACCGTCTCTCTGTAAGAAAAGAGGCTGTAAGTTAGGAGATGGGCAAACAGAACAACATCATCACTTACATTGTTCTAGGAGGTTCTCAGCTCCTACGGTCCTCACCCTGTCCTCAGCACACATTTTGAACACCTGTGCAGACAAACTACCCTCCAGTACTGGTTACTACCAGCAAGACAGGGGAACAGAGAAGAGGATGGACGCCTTTTTAACATTACTCTAGGACATTCTCTTCCTCAGGAAGAAGATGGAAAACAGGTTGTATAACATCAACAGTTTGATGAAGAGGACACTCAGTGCCTCAAGACAGGATTCTTTCTAAATTAGGATACGTAGGATTTATAGGGTCCAGAGGAATAACCTTTCCCCTCAGTAGAAAAGAATATTTTTGCTTTAGATGTCACCAAGCCATTCTCCTGTTTAGAGACCCCTCTCAGCTGTGACAGCAGAACTGAATCTCAGATTCCCTGCACCCTGCATTGATTACTGCAGAGGCTGTGTGGTCACCTGGGGAGAAGACAGCTATTCACAGCAGCTACACCGGTAAGCTCTTGTATCTGAATTCCAGTAGATGGTGAGAAAAAAATCCATAAGAAAAGCAGGAAGGGGAGCAGGGGAGACCCACCTCAGAGGTGTGGTTGCAAACTCTAATCAGAGATGCACCTCTCAGTGTACCCAGGAACATGTGTCCATGGGTCACCTGAGCCCAGCATCTGCATAAGTCTCAAGGGCAAAACGTAGTGGCTGGCAACAGCAGCTGTGAGGGGCCCAGCAGGCAGAGGAACACATGTCCATGGCTGTTGTGTAAGCCTGAGTGGATTATATTTAGAAAGCCTCTGGGCAGATGTCAGCCACTGCAGAAACCTGCACCACCGATAGCTGCTCCTGGGCAGGAGATGCAACCAGGAGGGGAGGGTCTGCAAGGTAGAAATAACAGGACAGGGGGGAAGAAATCATCCCTCCCCCAAACACCTGCCACAACCCATCTCTAGCTACTGGCTCCTTGTTTGATTTTGAACCTCAATAGTAGGATGCTTCAAGCCTTGCCTCCTACGATCCAGGGAGTCTGTGACAATTTTGACAGCATTATTGCAGGGCTCTGTTCATTCCTCCACCTCCTCCTAAGAAGGCAGCTCATGAGCATGCTCCTGTCCCAAAGAAAGGATTACTTTTTGCAACTCACAGCTGTCCTGGGTGACGAGGCAGGATTTTGGCCCTTACGCACAGAGCGAAGGGGGTGAAACAATACCTCATTTTTCCCTCCATCCGAACAAATAAACCAAGCGTAACCAGGCCCTTTGCCTTGTGCACAACTGTGTTCCACCTCCTTCCTCCCTTTTAGTATTTGCCTTCTTGCTTTGCTATCTCGTCCCGTTTTTCTCCAAGGATGATGGAAGTGCTGTGACTGAAACCTTGGAGTGTTAGAGCTTCAGGTATAGAGCTCTGTCCATCTGCTTTTCTTATCCACTTCAGCACCAGCTACCATAATTGCCACAGGCAACACAACTTTTCTCATTCCAGGCACTCTATACCTGGGCCAGCACTTTTCAGTCCTGCAAGTCAACCAAGTCAAACCTGCCGTTTCACATCTGCACCTTCACATCTGCAATAATCCCTACCATTTGAGGTTGCTGGTACAGAGCAACTGTCTTCACCCACAGCAACCTTCACCCAGCAGCCAAAATATCTCAGCTCTGACTTGTTATTCTCCTGCTCCTCCAGCTCTAGCTTTTTTATGATCCTCCCTTGCAGAGCAGCTGGCTATTTCACACCTGAATCAGATGTGGTAAGCTACAGGTGAGCTTTGGTTATCAAAAATACTCGTTTGTAATCAATATGAATTGGTAAAAATAAAACCAAGTCTATTTTACTCATGACTTGTCAAGCCAGGTGAACAAAAGGCAAGTGAACAAACTACTACTTCTCACAGCATTTCTGAAGTAGGAGGCAGCACCACCACCACAGCATTTATATCCATATTTAGATACTAAGAAAAATTATGGTCCTGTCAGATCTAATGACTGAATTCAAATAAGGACCTGCCCCTGGCCTGAATTTAGCTGCAGGCCTCTAGAGAAAACATAGGCACTGCAGAGAACTAAACCAGCACCTCGCTCAGCTGAGCATGTTCCTGTAAATCAAACTGAACCATTCTCTCAGCATGCTCTCCACTGTCATTAGGCTGTGCTGGAAATGACATTTGCAAAGCACCAAAACCCAAACAACCTTTAACAGACGCTCTCAGAATATCAGGTCCATATTTGGGGGATACCTCAACTGCAACCATCGTGTTCGTGCCCTTCCTTAAGGTCTTTCTACCACTTTGTCTGCAGTTCTTCATGTCTCACACTCGTGTTGTATATTAACAAACACCTTACAGGGGGTGAACAGCTGCCTCCTTTCACAAGCACAGTGGCTATCTTTCTGCACAAGAAGTTTGTAAGAAGATTATAGCACTGACTATAGAAATAAGGGTTCATTACACCAAAAAGCATTAGCAGAAAAAGAGCTGTCTGCAATATAAGCCATTCCAGAAAAGAATAACTGAAAAAAAACCATATCCCACTGGAACTATACAAGAAACTTTAAACTGGTGAAAGATAATTAGCAGCACTAACACTGGACACAAAGATCCAACTTTATGTTGTAATCCAAAGGAAAACATAGGTGGTGATTCCACAGGCCTTACAGTACTGTACACGCCTTGGTCAGAGGCTGATACGGACTTCTGGGGAGGAGCTGCTCCTACCGCTACCTTTGCAGCATCTGGAGTATCTGTGACCCTGATAAAACCCAGGCTGAGGGATCTAGCGAGACAACAACTTCAAGCTGCACCAAGCAGCGTGGCAAGGAAGTGAACCATGAGTGTGCGCTGCAAAGTAGTGAAAGATCCTTGGGATGAAGGGAGTTACGAAACCTCAAAATGCTGTGATACTTCAAAACACTTTGCAAACACAGGGAACTACCACCAAGGGAAGAAAGGTGTGAGGTAATGAAAGCCAGTTGCAATATTGGTAGTGGAACCCACGTGTCCCAGCACTAATTTCACTAGCTCCAGGCCCCTTAACGATGAGCATGGCTACTAAATAAAGACATAACCAATTCAACAGGAGACTGGATGACCACATACATCTTTTTCCTGGATGGTGCACTCCTTGCAGTAGTAGGCATCGGACACTCCTGGACCCCCGCAGATCACGCAGCGCCCTTGGTACGAGCCGTAGTTACACTCATCACATATGCGCACCAGAGTGCAGGGCCGCACATAGGAGTCGCAGATCACGCATTTGCCATCACCTGCAAGTACAGCAGAGCCTTTGGTTACAGGGCATCCTTCTCTCCAGCTCCATATTGAAAAGGAAAAGCTTCCTAGTCAAAGAACTTGCTTATACACTCAAAGACAATACAACTGAACTGCAGAAATTTATCTTGCAGGCACAGGCTGAAACTTTGTGTTTAACTTGACAGGAACAAGGGCCAGTAGCCTGCAATATTTGAGGTTTTTTATTTATTCATGCATTCACAATCACTGAGGAAACCCAAAGTCACTTCTGTGATTAGTCAACACCTGCTTAGATCATACCATTACTTTTACTCTAGAACTTTTCCTTAATTTTTCACTTGTGAAAAAAATGCTGGACTGACAGGACTAGCGTCCTTACCTACACAGAAGCAGCAGTGTAAGCTTCTCCCACAGTGCCACATCAACAAAAGTCTGGAGTAACTATCCTCAAAAAGATGAGATAAGAGATTGTACTCGTGGTCCTTTTAATCCTTCATCTGTGAGAAGGCCAAAGAAAGGGCAAACTGGCATAAACAGCCATTTCACAAAAGTTGCTCTTGCTTTCTCACAAGGAACCGAGTGAAATTCAAGTACTCATATCATACAGGCAAGCAGCCATCAGATGCCATAGGCAGTCCCTGCTGTGCTGGACCTTATCCAAAACACTGACCTAGGGATGAAAGGCTTCATATCCTATTACCAGTTCCCAAGGCATCTAATCCTGACTCCCACAAACAGCTCATCTAACCTACTCTTAAATCTCTGGCACAACAGCCCTCAAATACTACTACTAACGGGACTCTGTTTCACTGCTGAGGGGTCTTGAAAACAAACTTGTTGCTTCAGAATGTGCTTCTCTCCCCAACTTCGCTTATTTTCATACTATTTTGAGTCACAAACTAGTCATCTTATTTGTTCTATTCTAATGACAGCTCATGCTCTTTCTTCCCTTCTACAGTTGAGAACTGCAGTTCGATTCTGTAGGAGTTGCTCTTCTCTAACTCTAGATGTGTGTCCTCCCCCATTTCTTACCCTCCTAGATGCTTAAGGGAACCTTTCTCAAGGCGTGAAGAAGTCAGATTTGAAAAACACTTTTTTTCCCCCTGCTTTGAAATGATCAGGCTGATCACTCTGTATTACAGACTACAAGGAACCAATCAAGAAGTGACTGTAGCTTCAGCTCCTGAAAATGCTGGCAGCACATACTCTACAACAGCACGCATTTGTGAGACAAGCTATTTGAGCACAAAGCTTTGCAAATACTCATTGATTTACCCTTACAATACACAAGGAGCTCTTCCCATCTCAAAGACTGACTGACATCAAGTTTGTGGTTAAAGAAAAAATAGAATTCAACCCCCAAATCCAAACTGCATGCTCTAACCACAACACCGTGTTCTCAAGTAGCTATACACAGAAGCTATACTTACATTTTTCACAAAGTCTTCCGATGGCTGTAAGAAGAAAAAGAAAAAAAATTATTTGAGGCAGAAGCAGGGAAAAAATATAAGTAACTGCAAGCTTGAATGTCAAATAACTGTCTGCTACAGTGAGCAGTCTTTAACAAAAGAGTAAACCACAGAAACAGTTTGAGCATAAGTACAAGTAGGTTTATGATAAACAATATATATTTCCCTGGAGACATAGCTAAGATCAAAGTTTAGATGCACTGTGAATGCTCAGCGACACTCACAGACAGTAAGAAAACCTACATTCATAATTCCATTTCAAACATAGCCAGTGTACCGAAGGAAATCCTATACATGAGTCTTGGCACAGCTTTTACACTGGTTTTAATGAAATAGAAAAAATAAGTTTATTTGGTTTAATGCTGCCCATGTACCTTTTTCACTACAGAACACGAAGGCAGTTAAATGTACCTTAAAAGTCTTATCACCTGTCGAGGAAACTGACAACAATGTTATTAGTAACTTGGATAAATGGCATAAATATCAAGTCCTGAAGACCAGATGTCCACCTTCACAAAGACTAAATAGTGATTCGGTTTAAGTTTGAGGATCAAGGGATTTGTCAGGGTGGAAATGAATCTGCAACATAGACAGACTGTTAGCTGCATTAACTATTCTAGAAATACGTTTCCTGAGGACAGTGCGGCTCAATATTTTGTGTTTACAGTTCTTTCAAGAAATTGCATGTTAGATTTGCTTTTCCAATACGAAGTGAAAAAAACCTGGAAGAGATACCTCGATATTTGTAAGACATCTTTAAGACTTAGCAGGTCAAATTGTGCCCCAAGTGCCAATACAGCTCATTATCTATATACAGGTGTAACTTCTACACCTCTGCCTGGAGGAGGATTTCATCTCGCAGCCAGAAAGATGCTCCTGGTGCCGGCTGAAGCCTTCAGCTCATTTTCCTGGCTGCACTGCTATGGCCAGTACAACAGGCGAAGAACACATTAAATCAGTATTTTTCTGAATACAGCCATCAGCCTCATCTGCCTTCCACCCAGTCCGAGGAAAAAAAGGCTGCTGCTACGCCGGCATTAAAGCCTTTCAGCTCTACTGACAGAGGCCCAGGAGCATTCGTCAGCACAGAGCCCCAGGGGGCGGGGCGCCCAGGCCAGGGCCAGGGCCAGGGCCCTTCTTTGCAGGGCCTGCTCTCCCACTACGGGAGAAGAACCCATAAACCAGGGCAGGACAGCAAAATAAAAGCTAAATAAAATACGGGAAGAGGAGCGAGGCGGGCGCTCCACC